ATTAAATTGCAAGTTTGGTCCGATTTTCACTGCTTTTCCATCTTACAAAGTCTTAAAAGAAAGAGTAATTAAAACTTTTGGTTTCTAAGAATAGCTATTTTTGTATTTTTGATCCCCAAAAGTTTTATCTTTCTATTTTGGTTATTATTTGAGGTTTTGTTACGTTTTTGGTTACTGTTTCAAGAAAATGACTATTTAGGACCAAAATTGCAAAAATTAGCTATAGTCAAGGGCCAAAAATAGTAAGTTTACATGTAACAGAGGACAAAAACTGTTACAAGAATCTTATTTGAGGTTTTTGTAACGTTTTTGGTCTTTTTTTGAAGAAAATGACTGTATTTTTAAGACTGAAATTGCAAAAATCAGCTATAATCAAGGGTCAAAAATAGTTATTTTACATATAACAAAGGTCCAAAAATGTTTTGGAGCAAAATTGCAAAACTCAACTATACCCACAACCAAAAATGTAATTTACTCTAAAAGATTAAGTAATACACAGAAACTTGCAATTTTGAGTAAAATCACATGGACCAAATTTGTAGGACTTGCATATAGTTTTTCAAGGGACTAAATCCGCAACATATGCAAACTTAAGGACGAACATATGATTCCAAGTAAAGAACAAGGACCAAATTAGTGATTTACTCTAAAATATTTCGTTATCCGTATTTGATAATAAAATTTTCAGGTTGAGAACACATTGTTGCACTGAGCCATATATAATAGCCACCAACCGCCAGCTCAGCAAAATGCACCCGATACATAATCTACTACACCCTCATTTCCGCTACACAATGGAAATCAACGGTTTAGCCCGTGAAGCCCTAATTAATTCGGGTGGAATCATCGAATCATGTTTTTCCCCCGGAAAATACAGCATCGAGTTGAGTTCAATCGCATATGGTCAACAATGGAGATTTGACCACGAAGCATTACCCGCTGACCTTATCGCACGAGGCATGGCGGTTGAAGACCCCGATTCACCACACGGCCTAAAGCTAACAATAGAAGACTACCCTTACGCAAATGACGGTTTAGTCCTTTGGGATATAATCAAAGATTGGGTCACCAACTATGTCAACCATTATTACCCAGAAGAGAATCTTGTAGAATCAGATTCAGAGCTTCAAGCATGGTGGACAGAGATTAGAACACAAGGACACGCAGACAAGAAAGACGAACCATGGTGGCCGATTTTGAAAACACCAAAGGATTTAATCGGGATTTTGACAACGATAATCTGGGTAGCTTCCGGGCACCATGCAGCGGTCAACTTCGGGCAGTATGACTTTGCGGGGT